CTCCCCGCCCATTCCGACGCCGTAAAATACGACCCCGCCCTGCGGTGCACCGCCGATCCATAGTGCCTGTGAAGCAACAACTGTGCGTCTGCCCCTGCAGAAGGTATCACAGCGGGAAGAAATTTTAACACAGTAATCTATGCGAAGGCATAGTGCCGCTACTGCATGCCGCACCTCACAAGAGCCAGCGGCAAGTCAAGCCGGACCACCATAAACACCACGCAATCAGTGACAGTGGTTCATAATGTACAAAATGTAAATATTATACTAGAATTAAGCGTAGAGATGGGAAAAAGTTGTAAGTTTAAGATAAGTTGGATATTAAGCACCCCCACCATAATACGCCCTTACCCAATATGAAGTAATAAATTATGTAAATACTCATACGTATAAGAAAAAATGAAAACGAACTAGTGAAACTACAGAATGATGAGACAGATTTTATCATACTGATTTTCTATTCTCTTATGTGTTTAGAAGACTACAAGGATCTCTTGCGGCACCTATTGCATATCTGTGCTATAATGCAATGCACCTTCTCTCACCTCGCACATCGGGTAGACATATCACCAAACTTTACATATTTTGTACATGGTATTTCTTTTCGATGTCGATTTATTGTACGAGTATAATTTTTCTAGGCATGTGATCCAGTTCAATTGAACAAAGAGATTGCACACAGTTACCTTTCAGGACAAATATTATGGTATAGATGTGTAACGAAGGAGTCGGAATGTCGCCGCAACTCAAACACAACTGAAAACATATCCTTCGTAGGTAACTCTCCCTCAGGAATAAAAAAGAACCTATGCAATTTGACGATGCCCACGGCAATTTCACATTTACCGTTCTATTCTAGAATTCAATTGAAAACACCTCTCCAAAGAATGCTCTGCTTTCCACAAGCTCAATAAATTTCGTTGTGTCCTCGGCAAAGTACTCGGGAGACTGTGCACGTGCGAATTGTTCCTCTGACCCCTATTTTAACTAAGAAAATAAAATACAAAAGCAACACCCGCTATCCGTGTTTACCATTGTCGCTTGCGTCTGCCATGCCAGCGGGCAGAGTACTCGGGGTGTTCTCTTGCCGCAAAATAGAACCCGAGCAGTCGCTCAGGCTACTTGTAGCAACAAGCGTTCACACTCCCTGCGGGCAGAGTTCGATTTAGATTGAGATTATTTAGTCAAAAAAAAACACAGTAAAAACTGTATGTGAAGTATGGGGGGAAAAGATTTTCTGCGCACGTTTTCTTGAGTTTCAGAATCACTTCCCGTCATTTTAACTATAAATAGTTGAAAGATGAGTAAAAATTTCAAATAAATAAATAAACATTTTAAAATTACATTTAAGATTAGCAATATTTAAAAAAATAGACATTTTCGTGCAGGATATTTTAACTGCTCTTAAATGTACGAATGAAAAATGAAATGTGTGTGACGTTAAAATATGCATTGATTGTGCGGGAAGTACCGTAAGAGAGAAGAAGCATATGTGTAGGATGTGTGCCGGTATATAACTGTTTATGTTGTATGCTGTACAAATGGATACAAACTAAATGTTCAAAAGATGTGGTCCGCTGGCATTATCAATCGTGTTATTTAAGTAGGTGGTAGCAGTGCACCAAGTGAAACACACGTAGAGCACAGCTGCTATACAGTTCATCCCAACACGAGTTTTCGGTAGGGTCTACCAGTGTAGTAAACCGAAGAGGCGTTAATGCTTTTATCTAAATTACATATCCGTCACACGATTGAGCTGCAAGCCCTTTAGGGGGGGACACCAATGGTTGAGATGCAATAAAACTAAAACAACAGATCAAATATCGTCTGGGCCAATTTCAATTATCTCTGATTTGTTGGATTCATCTCCACTCTAAATAGAAGAATAACCGTCACAATATCGAAAAAATTCACCAAAAAAAGAACAAAAAATATTCATGTCAAATACAACGCGCAACACACTAAAGGATTTTTTACTCTCTATCGTGAAATAACTTTTGAACGAAGTTTTAAAAACTACTATTTTGAGACCAAAGGCCTCAAAGAAACGTTTTTCACTCCGTAACCTACCGATGAGATCTCCTGAAACGTTCTATAAAATGTTTGCTGGTCTGGCGTCGATATTGCCCCACCTGCTCAGAGGCGTGCAGAATCTGCAACTAAATGTGTATGAGAGAGAGACAGAAAGACGGAGGGAGAGAAACGGAGATAGATAGAGAAACGGAGATAGATAGAGAAACGGAGATAGATAGAGAAACGGAGATAGATAGATAAACGGAGATAGATAGAGAAACGGAGATAGGTAGAGAGACGGAGATAGATAGAGAGACGGAGATAGATAGAGAGACGGAGATAGGTAGAGAGACGGAGATGGGTAGAGAGACGGAGATGGGTAGAGAGACGGAGATGGGTAGAGAGACGGAGGGAGATTTGTTAAATCAGAATTAAACATCGTGATTCAAAACATCTTCAAATTAAAACAATATTTCTCGGAATGAGGAAATTCAATAAAATGAATATTAGTAATATCATTGTAATTTAATGAAATATTTAATAAAATTGGTACATTCAGTTATGTATTTATTTTTCCTTTTAAATACAATGAAAAATTAATAATAGACAACTTTATATACATATAAGTTTCCTTTTATGATATCACAACAGTACAAAATAAATTCACAATTAATGCAAAAATATCTTCCTTGTACAAGAAAATAATGCCAGTAAAATTAAAAGAAATAAATTCTGTCTCCAATGTGTAAACGGGGAGAAGTAGTAAATAAGAAACTTTACGGACAGCCAAACATCACAGAAGTCAAGTTAGGCTTCAATAAGATTTTGTTAATACTTTGAATACTTAGCATTTAAGGTATTTAGCACTTTACCGATTATGGTCCGCTGGTGTGCTAAGAATTAAAAATGTACCATTTAAATCGTATAAAAAACATTTGCCTCTTTCAGAAATTTTATCATTTTGCCAGTAGCTGTCCTATCAGTCCCAAATGTCACCCTTCGGGTTGTCTCTCATACTACATCAGTCCCTGAGTCCTGAGAGATCGCATCGCAGAATATATTTCACTGTCAGAGTACTTCCGCAGCCGCAGACGGGTTGCTTTTCATTTCTCAACATTTAGGAAGAAGTTATTCTGGCGGGGCCTTTTCTTAATCTGTGATGCACACTTGCTCACCGAGAGTAGTAGATTTATGGTGACCATTTACGGAGACTCTGCTATTGATAAAGTTTAATTTTGTGAAAAGGGTATTGCCTATAGCCTGCCATGCTCTGACGATGCACTTTAAAGCAGCATTTCTAGCGTCTTGAGGTCGTATGGAAATTCATTTCTGGTTGATAATTTGCAGCATTTCTTGCTACAATATCGGCCTCTTCATTTCCTGAAATACCCACGTACCCAGGGTACCAGATAAACGTATTTATGTTTGTCGTTGTTTTTTGTGACATAATATTAAAATCATTTGGAATAATGGGTCCTCATACAGTTGTCGCTAGCGATTGTCAGGCCAGAGAGAAGACTAAGGAAGTTTGCACAGATCGCGAATTTTCTTGCATTCAGAGCTTCAAATAGTGCATACAATTCAGCCGGGTATACAATTGCGTGGATGTGTTGAAGTTTCGAATGTCTTCCATTACGAATGCACTTCCTACTACTCGTTTTGTTTTTGATTCATAAATAAATAAGTGATTTGAATTTTCATGTATTTTCCAAACGATACTTAGAAGGGGAGTGATACTTTTATGGTCCCAAAAAATGGCAGACTTAATAAAATCCAGTTCTTAACTTAAGAAGTTGGATAATTTTTGATTTCCATTTTCACTCTTATATTTATGTAGTATCTTAAACGTTTTATTTATATTATTTTCATTATTTCAGATCTTTTGTTAAATTTTTTGACTATTTTTTACTCTTTATTTGGAATACTTTTAGTCAATATGTGTAATATGTTATTCCCCATAAATCACAGCCCTCAATATTATAGGTTTGAGAGAATTTAGATTTAGAAAAAAGTATCTAACAAGTGGTGTACCTAGAATCCGTTTGTTGAGTTCTTCGATACAAAAAAATCGTTTCACGGCAAAACGTCTGTCATTCCGTCTGTGAATAGCGCGCTAGCGGCTAAACCATTCTGCTGATTTTCTCCAACATTGATATTCCCCAATCGATTTGGCTGAGGTCGCGGTCTCATGTTCGTTGAAAACCCTGACTTCTCGAAAATTGCAAAAGTTCACAATTGTTTCGCAGTCTTCCTACAACTAACTAGCTAGATTCCTTAAAGATAGGTTTTAAAATAAGGTCATGGACAATTTTTCGAAACTTTGAGTACTTTTCACGTAATTTTGCGTGATAATACGCGAGAAAGTACATGCTGTAGTAGCACCACTAGCTTTTTAAGCGATCCATTTCACGATCGGGTGGTGCAAACGAATGAACTGCAAGTCGATAGAGTTGTTAGAAAACATGCGTAATACTGATTGGTTCTTATACTGACCTCCACGTCTACCTGAGAACAATTTTCTTAATTCCTGTGAGGGTATCCAAGTCACCCTTGTAAGTACAAGAGTATTTTACTTTATCATGAGATCCACGAAGTAGGTGTGTGTACGACACTTCCCGTTTTGCATCTGTAATGAAGCTGAATATATCCCGTATTGCAACTAATGACATTTTCTCAGTGATATTCTCTTGATTATCATAAACACAGCAACAGTCAAATAGTGGTTTCTCAAAGACATTAAAAAGGCGTAACATACATTTAAATTGTAACATATCCTCGTTTACAAATAGGAGACAGAATTGAAATGCCCTCTAAATTTTTATTGGGAAATTTCATACCACACATTCTTAAAGATAATGAATATCAAATGAAACTATGAAAAGGGTTAACTATTTCTTTTCAGGTCAGAATGAGTACAATGTCACTATTTCAATAAAAGTCAGTGTTATTGTAAATACTTCAATGAAAATGTTGACAAATTAAAATGTTTAAATTTATATTCTATGCATTTTGTTTCTGTGAATCTTCTTGTTTAAATATTTTACCTAAAACAATTTTATTTTGTCGTTTATTTACATATGCCTATTTTTACTAGTTAAAGTATTCGGGCATTCTATAAACAGTGATTTTGACCATTACATTTGAGAAATATGCAAATTATCTGCGAAAAATTTAATCTAAATCTTATAAAAAAAAGTACACTCCAATTAATTCACATAAGAGTGCATCATATATTCTGTACCACTTTTTCACTAGCATAATCATAGAAACATAAAGAGATAAATGCTGGAGAGAATAGCAATAGTTTGAGTCAGCTATTCAGTCTTGGCTTAAAATTTATCACACTGGTGCATAACGTACAAGGCGCTGATATGTAACTATTCTGTCTCATTTTATTCTACGAGGTGTATCAATGCTAATTTATGGTATGTATATGATCAAACAATGTTGGAAATACTTACCAGTTGGTATAATTATATGTTAAATTAGAAAACAATGTAAGTAGTTAAGAACCTCCATGCATCATTATTACGCCATTGCGATGGCCCAAGTCCGCTTGTCCGTGGCGCTGCCTTGCGTTTAGTGGACGAGGCTTGCGGGGAGCCCCTTGGAATGTGGGGCGAGAGCGTAGCTCCCTCCTTCCCCGCGAGAATGTGCTAGCAGCTGAGATGGTTGAGTGCTTCATTTGCATTACCTTCTGTGCTTAAGCAAATTTGATTGACAAATACTGCAACTGTGATTGACATTAATATCGCGTTGCTGTTCACAAAGTCAGGATGTCGATTTTATAGTCTATGAAATAAGCATCCTTATGATAACTTTTTAGAATTTGGAGAAATCACCCGATGTCCTTGATATTCTCTACTTGAGAATACCGACGACGGCTGCAATTCCTTGACATATTTAACTTTGTGAACACCGATGGAGCAGACATGTTATAAAAATGTTAGAATTCAAATCTTTGTACAATACAATGATTGCCAGTTATCTTGTTTTTAATAAAAGATGTTTGCTCCATAAATACGAATTAGCGTTTGTGAACAAGCCAACAAAAACTTTCTTAATGAATACGTCGTTATCACTAGATAATTGTGTTGTGGATGAGATTACGCTGCATTGATGTACGTCATTCTCAAAGGGAGATAGAGAAAGTTTTCTCCAACGCAGAGATCCGACACAAACGATTAAGGCTTCTTAGATAAAAGTAACAGTGACGAAAAAAACCCAAAACATAAATATTAAAATTTTTGGTTAAACCACTAAAATTATGGCGTCTCTAGCATTAGATATTTGTATATGTATATACACGTATCCACATCACATAAAAGAGAGTATAAAATATATATATGTGTCCGCTTGGTCCCTCGGGCGGAGCGGGGCGGGGCGTGGAGGAGCGTGGCTCAGTGGCGGCCGAGGCTGCGCGGGAACTGGCGCTGCAGGCAGAGCGTGGCGCGGTACTCGGGCTCGTACACGTCCGGGATGCAGAGCGCCTTGTGGGTGAGCATGGCGACGGAGGCGGCGCCGAGCGTGCGCCGCTCGAAGTCGATGAGCTGGCGGAAGAAGCCTGCGTTGGGGCGCACGCAGGGGCGGCGGGCGCGCAGGTGCGCGAAGGCCTTGCGCAGCGGCATGCGCAGGTGCTTCACGAGGAAGGCCAGGCACAGCGCCGCCGACCGGCTCACGCCCGCCACGCAGTGGATGAGCGTCGTCCCACCGCGCTCGCGCTCCTGCAACACCACCACCGCCACACCCCTCAGCGTCCGCCTTCCTGCGAGCGGGCGGAAGCATAACAGGCACCGACGGCTCTATGCATCGAGCGGTGGCAAAATGCCTTTGGCAGACATCATTAGAACCAGTTAACGCTCGTGCCTCATACAAAATTTACTTTACACAAGTATGTTATATATTAATTATATAAATATAATATAATATATTAGTTGTATATGTACATAAATATAATATGTTTATATATCATTTATATATTAACTTACATAACTAACCAATTTAAATGATTTCGATTTACTTATTTTGTGCTTAACTAGATCTTAACATGACTCGGTTTGTTTTTTCATATTTCCCTCCCATTGTTCCCATTTGTTATTTCCTTCATAAGAGAACATGTAGTATCATTCAACTGTTTTAATATTTCCCTCACAACCATGGTCTTCAATACTTCCTTGTTTTAATTGCTTAAGTAATACTAGCTGTCGATGCGGCAGCTCATTTACCATTTTAGAGGCCCCAAGCTAAAATATTTTTGAGACCCCCCCCCCACCGTTTACTAGTAACAATACCATTTTTGAGATTGGAGATTTAACCTTTTTTTCTTAAAATTAAGTACAGTTTGCCTTGAAGTAATAATGTTATTCAATTCAAATTTTATAATTAAAAATCAATAACAATCGTCTATAACATAATAATATCTAAATGTCAAATTGCCTGCAATCTTATTGAACACTCAATTAATCGTTCATAAAAACAAACCTGATTAAAAATGCCGTTTAAGCGACAAACATTTTTTTACCCAACTGTTTTCATATTTCCCTCGCGAGCACAATCCTCTCGATCCAGCTCCATACATCGAGCACCATATCGAAGGAAATATCAAGCATTATCACGTAATATCAAGCAAGTCATGTTTAGGTATAATACCACAAAACGGCTTCAGAACTTTTAGTTAACGTTTTTAATGCATATTCGTGAGAAAACAAAAAGTTATTGGAAGGAAAATGTCTTTTAATATTTTATCCATATCTTAATTGTAATTTCTACTAGATTATACGGTTATTTTGTATTTCTTCTGAACTGTAATGATAAACATTTTCAATGTTCAGTAATGTATTTCGGAAGAATTACTTTAAATTATTATTATATATTATTAATATGTTTTTGTGAATTTATTATTTTTTATTGTATTATTTTTCTTTGTGACATATACATTCATTTCTTTTGTAAATAATGAACAACTTACATGTTTCTGGAGTGTTAAATACTTCTGCAATGCAAATTTTTGTTTAGAAAGCATTTTTTCAAACAAACTTTTGAGTGTTTATTGTGACTCAGCCATTCGCCATATCCAAGAAGTTCATTAGACAAAATATGCTTTAAATTGTGTTAAGAGCTTAGTTTAGAAGTTTTGTGTTTTTACCTCTCCTGGCATCCTGCATAAAATTCGAGTGTATATTTTTTTTAATCAATTTTTACTAATAATTCTATTACGTTCTTGGAAATGAAACAGTTATTTCGAAACTTATTTGATTTTAAGTTTACGAAGGTTGCTCTAACTAAAAAACAAATTTGCCCAATGTTGGTACTTTGTTTGTTTGTTTGTTTCGTATTTTGATCCCTCGATATCGGAACGTCGTTCCGTCGCGTTCTGGCAGAAATCTAGCCCTGTACACTCCTGTCAGGCACTGGCGAGGATGTGCTCACCTGCAGCACGGCGTCGGCGACGGGGTCGAGGTGCCTGGCGAGGTCGGCGTCGGGGCAGTCGCGCAGCGCCACGCGCTCCAGCGCCACGCCCGGCGGCAGCGGCGTGTCGGGCAGCTCGGGGGCGGCGCTGAGCACGCGCGTGACGCCCAGCGCGCGCACGCGCTCCACGCGCAGCGCCGACGCGGCGCACAGCAGCAGCCCCTCGCACACGCGCGCCACCTGCCCCGCGCCCCCGCCGCCGCCGCCGCCCCCCTCGCTGCAACACACGCGCGCGGCGCGCCCTTCAGGTGGCGAGCCGGCAGGGGCGGTGCGCGCTCTGATCGCGGGAGGTGGCGGGGACCTTCCGCAGCCGAATGGAGAGATCCGGCGACGACCTAAACGTCGGCTTGTGGGGAGGGGGGGTCGCCAACTAGGCATCGCCCCAGCTGGCTCAAGCTCTAAGCACCCGACTGCGTTCCCGGTTTGTGAGGTAGTGTAGTGTAGTGCATGTAAGTGAGAGTGTGTAGGTATAAGAGGACATGATAGAACAAGGAAGAGGAAAGAAAGATTGCGCGCGATCCGTTGCCCGTTTGTTACGGCACTGCTCCGATATTCGCCTGGTATGTAATGGAGAACAACCGATCAGAGCAGCCGGTCGCTAGAATTCTCCTCCAAACAGCGACTGAACTCGATCTAGCTAGTGTCGAAAATCTTGCCACCGTCGAGATTCAAACCCTCATACCCCTTGGTCGGAGGCACGGCAGGGTCATCAATTGAGCCACCTAAGACGCTATTTACATTACATGTAAGTTTCATGTAACGTGCTTTGCTTCTCTATCTTTCTAGTACTCCAATGTACACAGCTACATTTTACGTCCTTTACTCGACGGGCAGGTCAGGAATTAGAGTATTTTGACATTTGACGAAAATACGACTCTTGGAAGCCAGCCCGCACGAACATTTGCCCTACGCTGCTCTTCATCCGTTTGCTCCGTGTTTGACAAGCCTCGTGCGGGTTGGCGTTGTCCTATCGTCTGAGAGATTCGGTCTACTCATCGTTGACACGCTTTCTATGATCAAAATATTTGTTTCAAACCCGCCGGGTTTGCAGTTCATTCAGGTAAATCGGGGAATATCAACTTTTTGGGGGAAAAATTGTCTGAATTTTTTAAGATCTAGCGTTGCCCACAGAAGGCAGATTACAGACAGAAAGATGAACTTTCTGATTATCAGTCGGTCGATCGGATAGATGACTGACGTTTGACTGTCAACCATTTTTTCGGTATGAAGGATCTGCAAAACGCGGATTGTGATGTGTTATAGGAGGTAGTTTAGTAGATAATGTAACAATATTTACCCAGTTTTTTGATGCACTGACACCATAAAGCAAGTTTTCCTGTCGAAAAATCGTCGATTTCTACCGCGGCATACTTTTTTCTACTACACAAGGACGTAGTAAGCCGCGAAAGTAAAAATTGTAAGCAATAAATATTTCTTAGGAACCAACTGTACCCGGAGCAATAAACTGATATGCCAGATCCATTACTGTTCGGGACATCTGATGTGATGGAGGTAGTAGATTGTTGAATATAATAAAAGTTTCACGATTTAGTCCGTAAGTAACCGAAAGCTTCTAGGGGACACACGAAACGGTGATTTTCTCTCGAAGGGCCGGAGATTTTCTCCGCAGCAATAACTCTTTTCTCGTACTTCGCGGTAGATCGCAGAAAGTGGAAAGGTCACGGATTATCACTTGGTTCGCTTTGTTGCGGCGGCCAAAGCTAAATCGGCGCGCGGCCGCGGGGTGGCCCTGCCACCGCCGCCGCCGCCGCCCGAAGGATGCGCCGGCGAATGCCATTGACCCACATCGCGCCTGGCGGCCCACGCGCCACCGATTTAACCCTCCGACTTACGCACAAATCACAATATTTTCTTCATCTCAAGGCAAATGGTGAACGCCGGCGAGCGTTTTGAGCACCTTCGAGAGATAATGTGTCTTCGTCTCCTGTGCGCCGCCGCTCCGAAGTGTTGTAAATCATCAACAACGGCGCGAGGCTTCCAATGTCAAAGGGGAGTCAGTGGTTCTCAAACAATCTCGCGGAATGGCCTGGTTGCCTCCGTCAACGAATTTAGCCCTATGCTATTCACCGCTGTTTATATCGATGGACTGGGATGGGAGGCGCTTAATGCAACACTGAGAGGGAAACGCTTTCGTTTTTCTTCTATTTTTGTGAGATGATCAATGCATGCACAACTAATGAAATTTCGGTTTAAAAGAAAATTGTCACTAAAAGGTTTATGGATTGATTCATTGATTAGTGATTCCGATCGCGTCAATTGCTAACATCATTAGTCCCGTAATTGTAGTGTATTTTCTATCGGGAAGTGGCAATGATCTTTCCCAGTTGGTTGGTGAGATCCGGTGCTGACCTTCCGATCGACCAGCGGGGTTTTACGCCACCAGGCATCACCCATCAGTGGGGGACCGACTCAGCTGCGACAAGCTCCAAGCTCCCGATCGGTCTCCCAGCATGTATGGTACTGTAGTGCGTGTAAATGCGTGTGTTTGAGAGAGAGAGAGAGAGAGAGAGAGAGAGAGAGAGAGAGAGAAAGACAGACCGAGAGGAAGAAAGAAAGGAGTGAGGATCAGACAAGCAAGAGGAAGAAAAGATCGCACGCAGCCCATGGCCCCTTTGATAAGGTACTGCTCCAGGATTCACCTGGTGTTGATCGGAGAAAGACTGGCGGAGAAAGCGAACCGCTAGAATTCTCCTCCAGACAGCGGCTGAATTCGACTTTGTTATATAGCCAGTGTTGAAAATTCCGCCACCGTCGGTAGTGGACCCCCTAGGACTTCTCGGTCAGAGGCTCTGCAGTGATATCAGCTGATGCCCTTAGCCACCTTTCCCGTTGAAAGGTTTATGGAAGTTTCCAGACCTGTGCTACCTTCGCAGCCTATGGGAACTCATCGCGAGTGGAGCTCCGTACGTGAAATAAATCGATCGTCGACGAGAAAGGTCATTCGCGCGCTCTCTG